GTTACTGTTGTAAAGTGTCATCCAGTCAACTGCTACTCCTAGCGACCCTGTATAGGGCTTCCAAGGAGCAACTGGTGAGTTTGAACTGCCAACCTTGTGGTTCAAACCAACCTTTCAGCCAAGCGCGTTATCTTGCAACACCACACCAGGATTCCTTAGTCACTTACATCTCTCTAATTTCTGGTTTCTCCAGTCTATACACCAACATGTGTCTGATTAGTAACTTCCTGCTCATCCTACACATCCAGGACTTAGAGACTGCTGCTGCTTTTCCATTCTCATCTTGGTGTATATATATATAGTATGCCTGGAGCAGGATAGGAGAGCACAGTGCTTACCCATAAAATCAACACAGAAATAATTCTAGAAAGTTCATGAAGAAAGACGACTTCAAATATGATGGCATATGAGTCTAGCTTTCTTAGTTTCTGGCTTCAAGCACAATGTATCTCATCTATCTAATTTTCTAATTTAAAATAATGTTAATAATGAGGGTTATCCTCTAATCTAAAAGAGAGTGACTGGCAGAAATGGGATAGAGTAAAGTGGACTTTGATGACTCTTACCTTTGGCTTCCTACCATGTTTTCTCTATCCCTTTTTTCTGGTAACAGACCCAATCCCCTTGGTCACTTGAGTACCTGATGCTGAGTTGGCTCATCACAGACCTGTATAAATGCCCTTCAAAGAAAGATGTTTTCTTCTGGGGTTAATTTGAGGCTGATCATTGTCAGCTTCCACACACAGAGAGCACATCTGCAGAACAAAGCTCAAGCAAAGAACAACACAGACTGAGATCACATGGAGAAGTCCTGGGACCATCTATCTTGCCAGGTACCACACTTAGCCTTTTCTGCCACAGAAGCCCATGCATTCCTATCCTGCTTAAACAAGCTTAAACTGGGGTTCTGTTTCTTGGATTCAATACAATATAAAGTATTTTAAACCTCTACACTATCCCCTTAGTTTAGTTCTTTTGACTGTGATTTGGAACAAAATATTCAAGTCTGAGATTTGTGTTGACTAAAAGTAGATCCCTGAGCATTGTACCTGCTTGGGTTGAGAAACTGTTGATAATTAAAGAATCTGATATGGTTTCTCACCAGGAGGAGGATTCTATCTTGGTTAGAAGCTGGATGACAGGTATCCACAAGTCTTTAGATTTACCCAGTCTTCATCAGATACTAGATGGGGACAATGACAGAGGTCTGCACCATGAAGCATGGGAAAGCTTGAGGTCTTAAGATTCTGAAGAAGGTAATTTTGGTTTGTCATATTTGATAAGAGCCTGTCTTTTTTTATAGAATTTATCCAAATGGTTCCTCTTGCTTTTCCAAGTCTATTCTAGAACACTAGTTGAACCCAAAGAACCACAGTTTATAGGACAAGCCTGAATTATCTGCTGTAGCAGGAAGGCATACATTCTAGTTCATCTAAAAATGATAGGGTATTATTCAAGAGTTAAACAAGAGGTCTTGAGAACAACCCTGCTTTATCGTTTTTAAGACAGGAATTTACTGATTTAGAGGCAACTTCCTCCTGTTCTGATTTTGGTAGAGATACTGTGATAAAAGCTTTCAGAAATAGTGAAAGCTCAGAACTGGCATTAAACTGCAGATAATTCTAATCTACTAGATTTAAGGCTAGTGAGAGATTTGTACATGCAGCAGAGTTTTGAATTATTAGAACAAGGTTTTGTCAAAGCTGGAACTCTTGATATTGTTATGAAATTCAACCCAATGGTTAAGTAGGCCAATGCAAGCTCTGAGAAATAAATGCTTATATCAGGCCAAAAAACTCCACCTAACCCACTGTCTTCTCATTGATTCTGATTGGTAATGGTGATGCTTGTGTGACACCTAATCAGTTTTGGCTCATAGCAAGCCAGGTAGCGTTTTCGAGGCTGTAAATCTTTCTGGGAGCAGAAAGTCTCATCTCTCTTTGTGGTGTGACTGGTAGATTCAAACTGCTGATCTTGTGATTAGCAGCCCAGTTTGTAATCCACTTCACTACCAAGGCTCCTTTGATTCCAGTTTAGAATATAGGACAGAGTAGAATTTCTTAATAAGGTTTCTAAGGCTGCAAATCTTTATAGAAAACAGGCTGCCACATCTTTCTCCAGAGGAGTAGCTCGTGGATCAGAACCAGCGGTTAGCAGTGAAGCATATTATCCTCTGCACCTCCATGACTCATTTGCATAGTTGCTTTAAAAAAAATGCAAAAAAACTAATTTTATCATTGATCTAAGTATTCATTCCGTCATGGAGTAAGAAATTATTTCCCAAGAATCCCTCAAATATTATGAAGTAGAGACTTTTACAAAAACTCTTTAAAAAAAAAAAAAATCAGGTCCGATATTTTATGATTGGTTTCAAAAAGTTAGTTTCAAGATTCTCCTCTGGTTTCTTTAAAATGCAATCAATTACAAAATCAGATATAAGACAGTCTAGAGTCCTGGTGTGTGCCGTGGGTTAATGCGCCAGACTGCAAAGTCGTTTGAAGTGCAAGGCTGGCGGTTCAAGCTCACCAGCTGCTCCTCGGAAACCCTATACAGGGTCGCTATGGGTCAGAACAGACTCGATGGCAATTCACAACAACAACCTAGCCCTGTCACATTCAAAACCCATTTGGTTGCAAAAGGTGAGCGTATTGTTTCTTCTTTTTGACCCTTAGAATGAATCCTCAATTCTGAAAACAAAATAATTGTTTTTGAAAAATCCTTCTAGCTGAAGGGTTTTTGTTTTTGTTTTAAGGCAGGCTGAAAAGAACCATTTGTAACTTTTATCTGCGTGTCTCCTTCTGTGTAAACAAATGAGAGATCTGGAGTGGATTTCCTGGTTTCAAATCCTGGTTCCTCCACTTCGTAGTTGTGATCTTGGGTAAGTCACATAACCTCTCTGAATCTGCTTCCTTGTCCATAAACAGTGTAATAAGTAAATGAGATTTGCAGCGCACACAAAGGGCACGAACAACTTGACTGGAGTTGACCAGAGGCCCCTAGCTGCAATTCCTAACTTGTTAACCAAGACACGTCCCACCCACTCCCTGGATCGTCTTTCCAAGCCTTGCCATAAAGAACACCGTGTTCTCCCCGTGTCTTGTGTCAGCCGCTAGGGAAGGGATATATAGCAGGCCCAGGAAGCCACAGCGGCCCGCGTACCTAGGAAGAAAACGCACCCAACACTAGTTAACCCGCGTGGAGGCCCAGCACATCCGACCCCATTTATGGATTGTGGCCAAAGTATAACAGTTCCTGACCAGACTCCAGCAGGCGGAGTGTGGCGCAGCCCACACCCTGCCCTTAGTTGCCGCCACCCCTGCAGCTTCCTCTGCGTGACAGGTGCCGTGAGAAGAGCGCCAGGGGCGGCTGCATGGAGTGCAGAGTTGATATGACTGGAGCCGACTTTCCAGAATCTGCGCACGCAAGGCACAGCTCCGCACGCAATGGGGAGGAGACTGCTTAAGAAACTTTTCAACCCGGTGAAAGTCGCAGGCGTGGAGATTTGCTCCCTCCCTAGTTTCTCACTCCGGGAATCATCACAAAGTCCCTCTCCCCCGCCTCCCGCCCCTCAGTCCTACCCTACCCCTGACCTTGTTCGTCCAGGATCGGCTCAGCTCCAGGCCCTGAGCCAAGACCTCCGGACACAACAGAGGTGGCCGCGCGCCTCCAGGGGGCGGTTTCAGTAGGCGAGTGCTAGTCTTTTGTGCATACGATGGCTGGAACCTGGGGGCGAGGGAGCAGTCTTACAGGGATCTTCCTGCACGAGGTGGAAGAACTTTGAACGCTAAAAAAGGGGCTTAACTAAGAGTCCAATTTGTTTGGGAAAACATTTTTTAAGAACAATTTTGTCCCTGAAGGGTTAGGAAAGTCAGGTATACAAACTGCTAGGGGTGTGGGGCGTGAATGCATCAAAATAGGCAGGTTCTGTGCTATAAAGCTTCCACTGGGAACGACCCGAATAAACAGCGGCTTTCGGGCAAAAGAAAAATTCACACCGACACTTCTGGTTTGAAACCGCCAGTTTTGCTCAAAGCCCTTGGAAAAGTGCAGCAGACGCCTCGAGTGATGGTCTGTTGCGCGGACAAAATCAGGGTCTGTGCAGCTGGGAAGGTCCAGCACGCAAGCTCCGCCCCTGCCAGGTCCAGCTTCCTCCTCCCTCTACACAGTCCTTAAAACCCAGAGAAGTGGGATGGCGCGTTTGGACTCTGGAGTGACAGTGTACAAAACGGACCACATTTTTGCGATTCCAGCTATGAGAGTCGCGCAGGGGCCATGGGCTGGGAGTTGATTCCACTCATCTATCTCTCAGTCTTAGTCCCAACGTTGTCAGAAAACCCGACCTTTCCAGGGTCCCAGGTATAGGGTGGTCTGCAGGCAAAAGGCACTTTTTTCTATCCCTACCCCAGCCCATGTACCCCTGATTCTGACAACGCCAAGGGATTCCGGAGTGGGTGCTTAAAGAATCTAGAACGGGCAGCAGGTGTCTAGGGCGCCTGAGTTCCTGGAGACCCTCGGACTGACTTGTCCCCTTCTTTGATCCAGCCGTCCCGCACCGCTAGAAACCTCGCCTTCCAGCAGGTCAGTTTGTTAGTTTGTCCGTTTGTCCGCGGATCCACCTTCCTGTGTCCCCTTTTAATGAGTCCCCGCAGGTGTGTGTGTAAGGGGGGTGGGGCGCGGGAATGGAAAAGGTAAGCATTTTAGAGGGAACTAATGCCAACAGTATTGCGTGTCCCCGGATTGCAGAAACCGTTAAGAGGCTACGGGCGGGGGGAACTGAGTAACAGAGAGAGGGAACTCGTCCCTTCCCTTCTCAGCTGGGGAGTGGGTTGGGGATGCAAAGGGATCGCTTCAGCCACTTCCCCGTAGTTACAGCCTTGATGACTTTCGCAGGACCTCCTCTTCCTCAGTGGTGCGCAGCCTTAGTCTGGGCTTGCACCGTGGGACTCCCGCTCTTTTCTCTGCACACCTGAATGTTACACCTTCGCCCTTCTGTTCCCAGTATGGCCACGAGCGTCGGTCCAGACGATCCTCGGCCTCCGAGCTCGCTCCTCACCCAGCAGACCACGCTGCTGCTATTCCTGTCTGTGCTGGTCGCCGTGCACCTGGGCCAGTGGCTGCTGAGACAGAGACGGCGGCAGCCAGCGTCTGTGCCACCTGGGCCTTTCCGTTGGCCAGTGATAGGAAACGCTGCAACCATAGGTTTGGCGCCACACCTCTCGTTCGCGCGCTTGGCACAGCGTTACGGCGACGTTTTCAAGATCCACCTGGGCAGCTGCCCCATCGTGGTGTTGAATGGCGAGCACGCCATCCACCAGGCCCTGGTGCGACAGGGCGCCGCCTTTGCTGACCGACCACCCTTCGCCTCCTTCCGCGTGGTGTCTGGCGGCCGCAGCGTAGCCTTTGGCCAGTACTCGGAGACGTGGAAGGCGCGGAGGCGCGCGGCCTACAGCACGGTGCGCGCCTTTTCCACGCGCCAGCCGCGCAGCCGCCGCGTCCTCCAGGACCACGTGCTGAGCGAGGCGAGAGAGCTGGTGGCGCTAATGGTTCGTGGCTGTGAGGACGGTGCCTTCCTTGACCCTAGGCCGCTAACCGTGGTGGCCGTGGCCAACGTCATGAGCGCAGTGTGCTTCGGTTGCCGCTACAGCCACGACGACGCCGAGTTCCTCGGGCTGCTCAGTCACAACGAGGAGTTCGGACGCACGGTGGGTGCGGGAAGCCTGGTGGACGTGCTGCCCTGGTTGCAGCGCTTCCCAAACCCAGTGCGCACCGCTTTCCGCCAGTTCGAGCAGCTCAACCACAACTTCAGCAACTTCGTCCTCGAAAAGTTCCTGAAGCACCGGGAAAGCCTTCGCCCGGGGATGGCTCCCCGTGATATGATGGACGCTTTCATCCTTTTGGCAGAAAAACAGGCGACCGAGGAATCAGGAGACAGTGGTGCCAAGCTGGACCTGGAGGATGTGCCAGCTGTCATCACCGACATCTTTGGTGCCAGCCAGGACACTCTCTCCACCGCACTGCAATGGCTGCTGGTCCTCTTCACTAGGTAAAGTGTCCAGGAGGCGTGGAGCGGCGGGCCAGCCTGCTCTTCTCTATATAAGGGCGAATGAGGCCCAAACGTGCAACCAGTGCGCAGGGTTTGGGGCTTTGCTCTAGGTCCTCATACCTCAAAACTGAGATCGCACCCCGAAAATGAAGGCTGGGAACGCACAGTGGGGGAGAAGAATTGCAATTGCGCGCTCACACACCCAAACCTGGAGCGCTTGGACCTCCTGGCTGCTCTAATCCCATTTTGTCCCTCCCCCATCTGTTAATGAATGGGGACAAATTTGCAACTAACCCCCCCCCTTAGAAAAATAATATTACAAAGTCAGCCCTGACTTCTCAGTCTCTGGTGTAGGAAAAGCAAAAATTAGACTGATCGGAAAAGGGGGGTCACATAAATATGTTAAACAAACAGCATTCTAATAGGCTGGGTGAGTCCTAGGCATGGATTGGAGACTGCCTTGCCTGCGTTCCTGGTGTGCACCGCGTTGAGCAGGGCTGGGTTCCTGAGTACAGGCACTGTTCAGAGGCTGTCTGCCTGACCCCAAGACAGTTAGCAAGGAAGTGTTAGGACAGTGGCCAGAAACCAGTGAGAGGCACTAGATTAATAAAACGGCAGCTCTAAAAGTATGGCCAGTGTCTGGGGTAGACAATTGAAGAAGTACTTTTAGTGAGTACATAGCAGTATCTAGAAAGGCACCTAGGGGAGACAGAAGTAACCTGTGGATCTTGCTGTCCCTAACCTTGTTGTTGTTGTTGTTAAGTGCTGTAGATTCTATAGCGACCTGGATAGGGTTTAGGCTTGGCTAATCAGATCCTAGTGCCTACCTTTTGCACACACGAATGAAATTGGATCCCGGGGTAGGATTGTCAGATTTAACAAATGAAAAATATATTTTACATGGGACATTGGAAGTCCTGGAGAGAGTTATTTATCTGAAATTCAAATGTAATCAAACATCCTCTATATTATTTGGCAACTCTACCCCAAGGGAAGGTAGTGCAACAAGCAAATCGTGATTACCTTGAGGATCCTTTCTTAACTGTGAGGAAGCTGGTGCTGTTTTTGTTGTGTGTGTAAAGTGGATTCCGACTCATAGCGACCCTAAGGGAGCACATATCGCCAGGTTTTTACTTCCAAAGAGCAGATTGTTGTCGTTAAGCGCTTGAGTGATTTCGACCCATAGCGACCCTGTATAGGGTTTCCTAGGCTGTAAATCTTTACGGGAGCAGAAAGCATCTTTCTCCCGGGGAACAGCTGGTAGTTTCGAACTGCTGACCTTAAGGTTCACAGCCCAATTCGCAACCACAATGCTACCACAGTTAGAATCGCCCATCTGTTAGGTCAGTAGCTTACCATTGATCATTGGGCCCCCAGAGCCTCTTAAGGAAGTGGTGGTGGTTGTTGTTAGGTGCTGTTGAGTCGATTCCGACCCATAGCGACCCTGTATAGGGTTTCCACGGAGCAGCTAGTGAGCTTGAACCGCCAATCTTGTAGCTCAAACGACTTAGCAGTCTGAAGCATTAGCCCACAGCGCCACACCAGGACTCCTAAATCTGCCATAGGAGTATTATTGTTGTCGGTTCCGACTCATAGCAACCCTGTACAGGGTTTCCGAGGCTGTAAATCTTTACGGGAGCAGAACACCTCATCTTTCTCCTGCGGAACAGCTGGTAGTTTCGAACTGCTGATCTTGCGGTTCGTAGCCCAATCCGTAACCACTACACTACCAGAGCTCCTTATAGGAGTATTATAGATGGCAGAAACGTTTCTTTTTGATGCCTATGCTTTGTTAGCTACTGTATAGCTAATTTCACAGATCAAATTTTTTTGTGTTGTTTTTAGATGCTGGGGAGTCGGTTCTGATTAATAGCGACCGTATGTACTACGGAGTCCTGGTATGACACTGTGGGTTAATGCACTGGGTCTGTTTGATTCACAGGGTTAGCAGTTCAATCTCACCAGGCACTCCTCAGAAACCCTATACAGGGTGGCTATGAGTCTGAATCCACTCAGTGACACTAATAACAACAACAACATGCACAACCAAACAAAACACTGCTCAGTCCTGTGCCATCCTTCAAATGTATTAAGGTCATAGAAAAATCATATGGAAGGGAGAAGGAGAAAGAAGTTAAATAACTACTATTATTGGGCAGTGAAAAGAAAGAAAGCAATCTGGGGGACACATTCAAATCAATAGAACTAAGAAATACTTTCTCCTTTTAGGGAAAGACCTATGACAGATGTCAGCAAAGTACAAATTACACCACTTGCTTTGTATATGTTTTATCGAAATACAGGTTTCCGATTTGTCCATAAGCACTGGGCTGCTAGCTGCAAGGCTGGCAGATCAAACCCATCAGCCCATGCTTGGAAACCCTGTAGAGTTTTGCTGACTTGGAAGTGACTCCAGAGCATTCGACAACAATAGTAACATGGCTGTTTTCCTGCTACAGGTCAAGGCAGAGTTGAATAGTTACTGCAGAGAGATGCACAAAGCCTTAAATATTTCCTGCCTGGCCCTTTATGAAAAATGTTTGCAGATCCCTGCAATGTGATATTAAAGAAGCGATTTTCCAAAATCACCCTTAATTCCATCACATACATGCTTCCTTTTTTTCTTTTTTTTTTAAGTTTCAATAATTTTTTTTCCTTCTGATACTTGCACTTACTATAGTGAACCATTCTCTGTATTTTAATATTTATTTAATATTTTTGATGGCAACATAAAATGTGTTGCCAGAGTAATATATACTTGCTTCTTGAGTGTTAAAGTTGATCAGTGATCAGATTTCATTTTTAAAAGTTAGCTATTATTATGATTATATTTTTATACTGGGTTAAATATTTTCCTGAAAAGACATTTTCAGTTATGAGTTACTACGTATAGAAAAGCATGGGGTGGGGTGGCCTCATGGATCTTGCTTTGTAATGAGATTTTGTTTTCCAAAAGAAGTTTATATCGGCAATCACTCGTAAGTATTACAATTAGTACCATAATCTCACCAACATTAGGAATTTTTTTTTTAATTGTGACGGAAATATATACAACAAAACTTTTGCCAGTTCAATAATTTCTACATGTGTGATTTAATGACACTGTTGCATTCTATGTTTCGTGCCATTGCTGGCACTGTCCTTTGGGAATTTACTATTAAATTAGAAAACATGTAGCCATTACCTATCAAGATAACAACTACCTTTGTATAAAGGTGAGAACAGTCTGTCTGCTGGAAATTCAACCATTCAGACTCAGATAAAAGTGGAATTAAGATAAATTATGATGCATGTTCTTGACAAAAGAAGAATCATCTTTCTCACTTGTTTTCTCTCTCTATTAAAAATCAAACAGGTACCCTGAAGTGCAGGCTCGAGTACAGGCAGAATTGGATCAAGTTGTGGGTAGAGATCGGCTCCCTTGTATGGATGACCAGCCCCACCTGCCCTACATCATGGCTTTTCTTTATGAAGCAATGCGCTTCTCTAGCTTTGTGCCTGTCACCATTCCTCACGCCACCACCACGGATGCCTCTGTCTTGGGCTACCACATCCCCAAGAACACGGTGGTTTTTGTTAACCAGTGGTCTGTAAATCATGACCCAGTGAAGTGGCCTAACCCAGAAGATTTCAATCCAGCCAGATTCTTGGACAAAGACGGCTTCATTGATAAGAACCTGGCCAGCAATGTGATGATTTTTTCAATGGGCAAACGGCGGTGCATCGGGGAAGAGCTCTCCAAGATGCAGCTGTTTCTCTTCATCTCCATCCTGGCTCACCAGTGCAATTTCAGGGCCAACCCAGATGAGCTCTCAAAAATGGATTTCAGTTATGGCCTGACCATTAAACCGAAGTCATTTAAAATCAACGTTACTCTCAGGGAGTCCATGGAGCTCCTTGATCATACCGTCCACAAGTTACAAGCCGAGGAAGATCACCTGTGTGAGGCCAGAGGCAAGCTAAAATCTTAGAGGCATACAAGTCTTGGGGAAGGGGAGTACAATTCTTTTTTTTTTTTTTTTTACCCCTAGCTTCTCTGTGCTTTTTGCCTCTAAGATGCACATAAGTCAGTAGATGGGGCATGCTCCAAACATGTGTGGAGTGGCTCTTCATGAGCATTGAGCTATGCAGGAGTTCCTGAAAGATTTTTTGAGTCATATATTAAAGGGGCTCAAGGAATATTTATATATATACTGGTTCCTGGTAATAATATCTTCAGACAGTATTCTTTGGCACTACGCATACTCTATTACCTAACAGAGCTATCTTATTAATCAAACTGTCTTGAGTGGGATCCAAGATTTATCATCCGTGAACTGAAATATCAGCTAGTATCAGAATACATGGTTGACTATGCAAAGGCAAGTAATTGCAGCATAAGAGATGTGATTTAGGATGATAAGGGAAATGGCAAAGATCAGAGATTCATTCCCCTTCCTCCCTTTTCAGTAAAATAGCTGATAGACTAGTATTTATGGATGGTTTATCTTTTTGCCTACTGATGTGCTTCCTTGAAGTCATAAAGTTGGTTGCTCAAAAACAATAATTGATACAGTGATTCTAATGAGTTTCAGTGATTTATCATGAATTTTAAAACAGATTTTTATACTATAAAATTACAAGCTCTTTTGGTTGCCAAATGTGTTATATTCCAAAAAGGAGGGGAGATAAATTTTGCCTGCCTAGCAAAGCTTTAAATTATATATGTAACATGTAATTATAGGAGTCCTGATGTGATGCTGTAGGATAAGCACCAGACAGTTCAAACCCATCAGCCACTCCTTGGAAACCCTATATGGGGTTGCTATGAATCAGAACTGACTCGAAGGCACGCAGCAGCAGCAGCAAAAATATGATTACAATAACAGATTTCAATACATCTCATAGATATAAATAAAAAAAAAGTCACCAAAAAGTATGCACCATGTTATAATTATGTAATATTTTTATTCAGTGTGTTAATGTCTGTTAGGAAAAGGTTGAATCATATCACATGTCTCTTATAGTGTCATTGCAAATCAAAAATCTAACAAACTCAACTAATTTGGGCTCAAAAACTTGATTAGATCATATATAATTATTTTTTTACATCATAAAACGACACTGAAGAAAAGTCTCTTAACAACCCAAACTAGAATCAGAATAGACTCGTCTCTAAATTGTATCTGTAAGATGTGTTCCTCCTCATTTTACCATATCTTGTCAAGTTGTATTCATAATACAGTCTCAAATTGATCTAATTATGTTAAAATTCCAAGCTCTTAACTTAATTTTGAAGCCACCTGATGATTGAGTATTGCGTTGCAGGTTAGTGGAAATCTGATCATTTGCTGTGGAAGTGTCAGAAATTGAACCTGTTTCAGCCTGTTCCATAGTGGAGAATACCATGAACTGTGTGGGTGCTCTCTTTATTAGAGGGCCAAACCAAACACACACTGCTGGATCCCAACTCACGTTGACCTTGTAGGACAGACAGAATTGTAGGGTTCCTGAGACTATAAGCAACTAAGAGGAAGAAATGTCATTATAACTGATCGAGAAACCAAAAATATAAAAGTCTGTTTGGTTTCCCTTTTTTCTTAAACTGATTTTTTTTTTTTTTTTTTTTTGGAAATAGTCCTTAATGTCTGTTTTTTGGAAAGTCAGAAGATTGTTTGGGGAAGCTGTTCTGTTTGTGTTACAGTGTAACTGACCAGATTAATTGTGGTATTTAGAATGGCCTAGTGGGCAAGAACTTTGGTAGTTGTGAAATCATAAAGCTTGAACAAAATGTCTATGTTCATTTTATGTAAATAGCCTGAAAACTTTTCCAAAAAGTGATGGAAGACTGTTAAAGTATAAAGGAAAGTGTAATGTTTTCACCTTCATTGTATGTGAACAGTCAAAAGAAAGTACCACAGTATTCTTAAAGCTAATTGCTTCTTACATTTTTAGTAAGTATTTTGGAATCTGAATCAAAATCATGAAGGGTGAATTGCATGCTGGTTTTGTGTGGGAGTGATAAGAGAAAAGAGAAAGATTGAAAAGGAGGGAAGATAGTTAAATATGTCCCCATTTATTCCAGACTAATTAACTTCAGGCACAAAATTTAAAACATAAGCATTAGGATGTTTGGTGTGCTAATCTGAAATAAAAAATGGACTTTAAGAAAACAAAACATAATCTAGTTCCCAGATTATGAATGAGTTCTGTTTCTAAATCTGCCTCTAAATCTAATTTGTGTATAAGCCTAACAGTTACCTCAGTTAGTCAAATGTTTGTCTTAGTTTATAGTGTGCATTTCTATGAATAAAAAACATTAAAGAAGTACTTCTAGATACATTAACACTTCTTTAACATAATAATACAGTAATGACAATAATGCCTTGATGCATAGTGGCAAAGAAGCTCCCTTTGTCATTACAAATCCTTGTTGGTGGTGGTAATTGCCATTGTGTTGGTTCTGACTCATAGCCACCCTTTATGGGGTTTCCAAGGCTGCACATCTTTGCAGGAGCAGAAAGCCTAATCCTTCTCCGTCAGAGCAGCAGCTGGTGGTCTCAAACTGCTGACTTGGTGGCTCGCAGGCCAGTGCTTATCCTGGGGAGCCACTGCGCTCCTGCAAACCAGGTATGTACCTCAAATTTGAAATATGATAGGCTTTACTGTGGTTTGCTCTTAACCACGGACTGTTCAGTCAGATGATTGTAATGCAGGGACTGCGAGTACAACACAGGTCCCTGAATGGAACAAACAGTTTGCGCTAGGCTAACAGATGAAATGATGGCAGGTGGAAGCCTCAAAGTGACACCCTGGAAGGACAGGCATGGTAATCTGTTTTCTTAAAGATGACAGCCCAAAAAACCCTAGGGAGCAGTTCTCCTCTGTAACCCTTGGGGTCTCCACGAGTCATGATCGATTTGATGGCACAAATAACATAGCAGATCTCTTTTGTAGTTTGGAATGTTTTATTAACAAGAATCTTATTTAATTTTTTATTATGAAAACTGTCATAGCTGTGTCTCTTGAATATGAAAAGGTGTCAGTATTTTAAATAGGCAATTTAAGTGAACTATAGAAATCAGGTGTACCCGATAAATTTTAATTAGGGGGCCCTGGTTTTTTCACTTTTTATATGTGATAAAGACAGTGAATTTAGACTACCTTTCTTATTTACTCTGGTTTAGAGATCTATGACAGCAAAAAGAACCATGTGCCAACCTGGTTAGTTCATTAAGTCAGCCGGACTCAGGGATGACATCACCTTTGGTGTCCATCATCATCTGATGCTTATGGTGAGGGAAAAAGCTCTGTTTGTATAGAAGAACGTAAGGTAAATGTTAGGAAGCTGCTTAATTTATTTCATCTGTTTGTAGCTTAGTTCAAGGAAGGAAACCAAACAAAAGAAAAGCCTGCTTTGGAGGCGATAGTAACCAAATTACTGGCTTCATCAGAAAACCTCATTTTATTTCTGCCAGAAACAGACTGTATTTGCTGATCACCACTAAAATCAGAACCTCTACTCCAGGTTATTGCAATAATCAAACTATAATTGTTTATATATGCTGATTTATATACTAAGAGCTTCGACTTTGTGAGAAAATTGCTTTTTTCCAAAACAAAAGATGCCTAAGGTTAGTTTTGTGGATTATATAAACGCTTTCATGTTTCAGAACTTAGCCTTTACCTGTGAAATATTAGTACAGCCTTAATACTTCCATGTTAGGTCTATATTAGATCAAATAGTTGCATCGCAAATGTATTAATGTGTATGATTTCAGCTGCAATACAACCGTGTGAATAAAAAGCTACACTTTGGTAGTTGATTACTATAACTCAAAGATGATTTGTTATTTTATCTTTTCTTAATTTTGTACTCTATCATCTATGCTTTTAATGCACACACAGCAACTATAGTGCCAAGTTGTGACTGAAATACATTTTGGGGACACAGCATTAATATGTGGCTTTTACTGTTTGATATTCCATCTGAGAATATTCTGTACCTGCAATGATAATAGGGCACCATTGTCAAAGTAATAAAAATCACTTTCAGTCTCGTTACGAAGTTTTACTATATGTCATAGCAAATGCAGTCTAATGCATATTTTCACTTCAACTATTGATTGTTTATAAGTGCTTGAATTAAAATACTGCATTGTAAACATTTTCTTTAGACCCTCAACATGCTATATATATGCTTACTTTCCCTCTCCTTCACCCCTACTGGGATTTCAGTATCCAATTTCCTGCCAAATTTCTGATCTCTATGTTTCTGAATTCAAAAGAAAAATCCCAGAAGTTAAATTTCAATGGCAAGCAACCTAGCAATTTTTTTTACATTCATCAAAGGATGCCAAGTTGATTTTTAGAAGCACTTGATGGATTTTCTCCTGGGATATTTTGTAGACTCTAACTCTGGCCCTTGAATCAAACTTCTTTTATACTTGTATGTTACTGAAAGGATTTCCACCCTCGTCTCAGGAGAAATTTGCTAAATTTACCATTTTGAAAGATTAAATAGATTGAGATTTTAAGACCCAACGTTTCTGCTTCATCTAAAAAAAATACAGGCCACATTTTTTGCCTTACTTAGTAGCACCCTGGAGTCCTGGTGTGGTGCTGTAGGATAAGCAATGGAGTGCTAACTACAAGGTTGGCAGTTCAAACCCACTAGCTGCTTCTGAGAAGCCCTATGCAGGGTCACTATGAGTCAGAACCGACTGGACGGCACTTAACATCAGTAGCTTCCTGATCTATTTGTTCGTATTTGAAGTACATGTGAATAAATGCAAAAGTATCCAGTAGAGTGGGTGGGGGAGACAATTCTGTGACTTACAATGTGGAAATATTTTTTCTGCGTATCTTTTGACCTGGGACAAGACTTAACTGTTCAGACCTGAACTGTGGCTCTCCAGGCCTCAAAGCCCCACCCTCATAGATAAAAAGGCTGTGCTATGCCAAAGACGTTTATTTTTCCCAACCCCTGTCTCCTGTTGCTGTGAAAACAGGAAAAGGAATCATGAAGTAAAAATGTATGCTTCAGCCGCACCCCCTGTGCACAGCGCCCCCACACACGCACTCAGAAGACACTTGCATGCTGCTAGGGTGCTTTGGCTTCTGAACATGACTTTAACACCCAAAAGGGATGACTCTGAATTAGTTTAAGAAAGAGCTCGCTTGTTACTTGTTTCCATATGTGCTGCGAAAGGATCTTGGAGAAGGTCACTAAGGTTCAGTACAAGTAAATATTTTCACAGGAAAAAAAATTCCATTAAAAAATGTGTAATTGGGGTCAGATTTTTGCAAAAAAAAAAACCATGTCAAGCTGAGTTGGATTCTACCCAATCAATCCTATAGAGTATATACAACATTGGACTGGAATGTGGGAGATGTATGCAGTTTGGGCCATAAGGGCGGTTGTTGCAAATTCATGTCGTTTGTTTCTATAACCCCCAAATCAAGTTTTCTACACAAATGCTTGCAGAAGTTTTGACAGCTATATTCCCTCTACTTAATTTTGGCTCAGTGAATTTCACATACTCTCTGGTCTTCAGTTTTGATCTACAGGTTGTAATTCTGGGAGAAGGGAAGAGAAAGAAGAAAAATTATATACACAGAAGTAATTCACTTTAACCTGAAAAAATAGATGAAAAAGTTTAAATAGGCATGGACACATCAAAGGTAAGCAGAAGCTTATGCTCGCAGCCCCTGTCTTTACTTTCACCCTGATTTTGGAGGAAGAATGCTGTGATTTTCGTCTACACTCTGTAAGATGGCTAAACCCCTCATGCATAGCCACTGCCCATCTGTCAGTGGAAATGTGCATGTTGCTGTGATGCCGAACAGGTTTCAGCAGAGACGCCAGAGTAAAACAGACTAGGAAGAAAGGTCTGGCAATCTACTTCTGGAAATCAGCCAATGAAAACTCTGTGGGTCACAATGTTTTGCTCTGCAACCCATCATGAGTATGGAGCAGGGCTAGGTAGCATTTTGTTCTGTTGTACATGGGGGTTACTGTGAGTTGACAATGACACATGGATGGCTAGCAACAAAAACATATGTCAGGTTGAGGGAAAGAAATAGAACTAAAATATGCTAAACACTTATTAATTTCGCATCATCATGCTAAGCTCTTTATTGCACAGCAATCCCATGAAGGAACCAATAAGATAGCATGCCAACATTGTACATTTAAAAGTGGCAGTGCTCTGATTGTCCCTCCCTGGAGATGAACTGACTTCCAAGCCCACTGTCTTCCTACTAACGCTTGTTTGTGTGTTTCCATATGTAATCTAGACAGACATTTCTTTTTCTTAATGGTGGTTTGGGTGAAAGTATTGAGCAAAGTTGTTTCCTGTTTAACAATTCACAAAATATACATTTTGTTTCATGACATTGATTACAATCCCCACAGTGTGACAGCACTTATCTTACTTCCTCCCTGTGTTTACTGTTTCCATTCACTTTCCTTTCATAACCTTTTTAAGTCTCTATGACCCTTGGTGTTTCACAATCAATTTAACTCTTTTGTCCAGGGTACATTTTGCATTGTCAGGAAGTGGCTGACATTGGGAAAATGCCAGGAAGACTCTGGACCCAGCCCCCGCTCCAGAGAGCAGGCTCTTGAAGCCAACATGTTTTACAACAATGCCTTGAAAAATACAGTTGAAAATGGCCTGCTGATTCTTTAATTTTATGTGTATCAAAGGACTCCAAATTGATTATTTGAAATACTTGATGGATTTTCTCCTGGGATATCTTGTAGACTCTAACTCTGGCCCTAGAGTGAAATTTTGATTGTATTTGCCTGCAAAAGGAATTCCATCCTGATCTCAGTGGGTTTGCTGAGAAGAACAGACAGCCTCATGTTACAGCTTTCAGGATCTAATGTCTCTTGTTGTTGTACTGCATGGGCAATCATGCTTTTCTTTTCTTTCCTTAATAAATCAATAAATCAAGACAATGATTGCTTTGCCACACAGCTCTTGTTATTGTCCAGGCCTTACGACACCAGGAGTCAGATTACTTCCAATTTTGACAGCACCACACAGTTCCATCCCCACATTTTAGTGGGATCTGCTTGTGTTCAGTTGGATTTGGTGGGTATTTATGAAACATGAACTCTGGGCCAGCCCTCTCCTGCACTTCCTTTTACCCTTCTCCTCACATTTCATGGCTGCTCCCCTCATGAGGGCAAAGTAGACCTCTCTTTGCTTGCTGCCTCCCCAGCAATCATCACTTCCATTTAAGGCTCTATTTCTGCAGTTTCAGAACCGCCAAGTCAATCCAGTTGGCATTCTGCTTTCTTAGCATTTAATGTGGACTTGGAAGGGAGAGTGGGAAGACACAGTTGGGACAAAGAGAATAACAATGATTTTTCATGTTGTGTTTTCCAACATAGTGTCCAGAAACCTCGTGGCTAAAGATCCCGATTGCTAACTGAAGTTCAGCAGTTTGGACCCACCAGTGTCTCCACTGGGAGAAAGATGTGCAGTCTGCTTCTGTGAAATTTATAGCCTTGGAAACCCTATTCCTATGGGGGCAGTTCTACCCTATACTTTAGGATTGCTATGAGCCTGAACCAACTCAGTAGCAGTACGTTAGTTTTTTTAATTGCAGTTAAAAGCAGAGGGATTGCTAACCACAAGATTGGTAGTTCAAACCCACCAGCCATTCTTGAAACCCTAAACAGGGTCACTATGAGTCAGAACCAACTCAACAGCATTTAACAACGATCACCTCCTTCAGTCCAAACTTGAAGTCAAAATGCATTGATAGTTACTGGTAATTGGAATGCCAAAGTTAGAAACAAAGAGGAAGGATGGATAATTGGAAAATATGGCCTGGGTGATAAAAAAAACGATGCTGGAGATCACATGGCAGAGTTTTGTAAGACTAGTGACTTTTTCATTGCAGGTATCTTTTTCAACAACATAAACTACAGCTATACATGTGGATCTCACCAGTTGGGATACAAAGGAATCAAATTGACTACATCTGTTGGAAAAGATGATGGAGAAGCTCACGGTCATCAGCCAAAACCAGGCCAGGGGCAGACTGTGGAAGAGACCGTCCAACTGCTTATATTCAAGTTCAGGCTGAAACGGAAGCAAATGAAAACAAATCCATGACAGCCAAAATATGACCTTGAATATATCTTGCCTGAATATAGAGACCATCTCAAGAACAGATTTGATGCATTAGACACTAATGACTGTATGTAAACCTGAACAGCTATAAGATAACATTGAGAACATCATACTTGAAGAAAGCAAAAGATCATTAAAAGGATAGGGAATAAAGAAAATACCAAAATGGATGTCAGAAGAGACTCTGAAACTTGTTCTTGTGCATAGAGAAGCTAAAGCAATGGTAGAAATGATGAAGTAAAAGAGTTGAGCAGAAAATTTCAAAGGTCAGCTCAAGATGACAAAATCAAGTATTATAATGAAATGTGGAAAGACCTGGGGTTAGGAAACCAAAAGAGAAGAACACATTCAAGCATTTTCAAGTCAAAAGCACTGAAGAGAAAAGTCAAACCATGACTTGTGATATCAAATGATTTTACAGGTAAAATATTGAATAACGCAAGATGCTTCAAAAGAAGATGGAAGAAATACACAGTCATTGTACCAAAAAGAATTGGTCAATGCTCAAATATTTCAATAGGTAATATATGATCAAGATCCAAGAGTACAAGGAAAAAGTCTAAACAGCACTGAAGGTATTGGCAAAAAAACAAAGCCCAGGGATCGACAGAAGACAAATTGAAATGTTTCAACAAAGTGATGCAGAGCTGGAGGTGCTCGCTGGTCTATGCTAAGAAATTTGAAAGACAGCTACCTGGCCAATCCATTGGAAGAGGTCAATGTTTGTGACCATTCCAAAGAAAGGTAATGCAATTGAATGCAGAAATCATGAAACAACACCATTAACAGTACAGACTGAAGTTGTCAAAGACTTCCTTTTCCTTGGATCCACAATCAACACTCGTGAAAGCAGGAGTCAAGAAATAAAATGACGTATTGCATTAGGCAAATCTGTTGCAAAAGACCTTTTAAATGTGCTTTGGCCTCATTAGCATCATGTTTTTATTGTTGTTTCATGCCATCAAATTGGTTCCAATTCATAGTGATCTTATGGCGGAACCTAATAACAATAGCAACTTGATGTTAATGAGACCAAATGCAAGCTACAGGATTGAGTTGCATCTTGATATTTACTTGGATTTTATTGACTATGTAAAGGCATTCAACTGTGGGGATCATAACA